CCTTGCATTTTCTCACACAACAGGTTTGAGAGTATTTTAGCGATAATTCCAGCTGGCTGTGTAATTATATAACACGTGTGGTCAAATGTCTCGTTAGTATCAGTACGTATGCCTATCTCTGTAGTAAAACAGGGTGACCCACCCCCCTAAGGGTAGCTGAAAACTGCACGACCACCCCTTCCATAAGGCCAAAACCTCATGACCCACTCCCTCTCTGCTCCGCCCCCCTCCTCCCTATACTTTTTGACCAGTCCCTTACAATGACATCGGTGTCGTCATGGCAACGAAATGACGTGCAGCAGTTTTTCTTGGCACTGGGAACTCTTCTTCCAGGTTGTTCACGGGAACTTTTCCCCCCAATAGCTGCCTTGATGTTCGTGAAATTTAAGTGAAATCTATGAGAGCGTTATTGAGATATTTTGGGATGAAGTTTTTGTGGTTAAAAATATGGTCAAAACCGGACAATCTTGATGTTCGACCGTTATCTCTAGAAAACGAAGCGCTTTGAAATGCAATTTCACCTCATGGTACTTTCAATCTCTTTAAAAACGTGTGTGAAAGATCATGGAGACAGCTTTAGCCGATTGCTAGACAGAACGGTTTTATTAGTTTGTATCAAGATGCTCTAGTTTGCGGTTTTGTGAACATTTTGGTCTTATAAAGGTGTTTCGATACAGTTATTCGGAGAATTTTTACCCATATTTTCCAATCGCCTGAAAAGTGATTTTTCCCTCGTCTGATCGCTATGAAATTTCCACCAGTGATTTACTTTGAATTGAAGTTTGTCAAAATGGAGTTTTAAATAAAATTGAAAACACTATGAAAAAATACACCCATTAAAAGCTAATGAGGCGCGATCTAGAACTGCTACTGAAAATCCAACACCAGGAACTTATAGTGTTTAGCAAATAACCTCCGTGAGATATAAAAAATTATGTATGTTTGAATTCAAATAAAATTTTAATCGTAAATATATCCAAGTCTTTTTGCTGCCGGGCATCAGCCGGCAGCAGACCATATTCTTGAGCGATTTGAGATTTTTGGTTCAATGGTTCGATGGTTCGATGGTTCAATGGTTCCATGGTTCAATCAGCAAGTGCTTAGCTGCCGCGCCTGTTTTTCTCTTTAGAGCAACCCGCCATATGTGAGTTTAAGAGCAACTGTCTGTGAAAATCGAGCAAAATCGACATTTCGCGGCCACAGTCAAAAAATCATTTTCGCTCATATCTTGTCCATAGCTAGGCATAAGTAACTAACTAAACGTGGTGTAGTTTGTTTTTCAAAAGGCCGCTTGGATTTGGAGAAAATCGACAAAATCAATTTTCGTGGTCTTCGACTTAAAAACAACCAAAATTTGAGGCAAAATGAGGCGGTCTCAAAACTTCGCTCGCACGCACACAGAAAGAAAGCGGGGTAAAATATTTCCCGATAAATCAATTTACAAAGGGTTCCACTTCTGGTTTGGTGATGAATTCTTATCTTAACGATAATTTGAAAGATAAACAATGTTATTTCAGTTTGGATTCTTTTTCAACTAAACGAAATTTAAATTTAGGCTGAAAGTTGCATTTTACTTTTTAGGCATGTGCTACACCTTGGTTTTACCTGAAACTCAAGTCATATGTTATTTAAACATTGTGCTAAAACATATGTAAGAATTGGCCTGGGTAATTAAATTTGTACTTCACACGAACCCTCTGAAGTTGAATAAATTTTGTTTGAAATATGAGACTTTTCAAGAACGTCGGTTGGTTGTTGCTCCACAAGTCACGATGGCTGAGCTCTCCAAAAGAAACTTAACTCACAATCACACTTGTATTAAGGACATTTGTACTGAAACGATAATTTTTGTTACCTCAAATGCGTTCTCCCGTTCTGGTTAACTGGCATTGCGCCTCGTCCCAAGCTAATCAACCGAAGATCCAAAAACTCGCCTGAGGAAGCGTGGTGCGTGAAAATAACCTGAAACGGAACATTTCTTGGTATTGCTGGCCTTTCTTTTCCGCAGTCAAACTTTTACATCCATTGCCATTTAAAGATTCTAGGACTCACAAAAACTGCGATTTTGATAGTGAAACTTTCGGGCTGCCGATATCTCTTTGGTCATAAAAGTCTGGTCAAAAGTGTTGCGTGACAGGATTCACAGGCTTCCCAATCTAACCATTTGAGCGACGCCGTTTTATTAATGTTCTTGCCAGAAGTAGCATATACTACTAACAATCCAAATCATGTTTTTCTTTCTTTTTTTCCTAAGTTTTCTTAAAGTGTGCTTCCATACAATACTAAATAAGTCCAAAAATATCGTTTTTCACGTCAACTTCTCCCCTTTGCCTCGTATGTGCCTTTGATTGACTTCAGGCCTCAATCTTTAGCTATTTCACCGCGTTATCACCTATCAGGCGGCTGTCTTTCCTCTCGCATATTCAAGTTCCATTGTTTTGGATAACAGTTTTTGTAAACATTCTGCAGTTATCTTTCAGTATATATTTTTTTTCTAATCTGAACATGGTTATTCGATCGTCAAACTCTTGTTTCTGTTTATATACAGAGGAACCCTGCCTTGCGACCACCCCGTTTATACGACCACTTCTTGCCTCAGTTCACCTCCCATAGTCTTTCCACCCAGACGTGAAAATCTCCGAGTCATTTTATTATTTTGAAGACCTCTTTAATGCGACCACCTCGCTATTACGACCTGGATTTTATGGCCCAATGCTGGTCGCATCAACGGGGTTCCACCTTTTTTTTTAATTTCAGTTTTCCACATTGTAGAAAACAAAAACAAAAACAAAAAAATGTGCGTCAGCTGGACTGTGGAAATTAATGTAAAGAACTAAAATTTAGACCCCGCTTATATGAAGAAAATTTGTCCCGAACAGAATGGTCACCCGCCTACCCGAGCTTTCCTGGAAGAGGCAACGTTTCACGCATTTCTTTACAAAACATAGCGAAGCGTTTAAATTACAAAAAGTTGGCTCGGCTAGAGGGGTGACCCACCTTGTCCAGTCACCCTTTTGTAATGGTAGGTCAGCCTCCTCGCCGGGCCAAAGTTTCTCCGTAGGCACTTTACACGCTTTCCATTCAACAAAAATTCCTGTTTGAAATTTGGGGAAAACCACTTGCCTAGTGGAAGGTACATTCCAGTTGCACAGACCAAACCAAAGCCACCGCGAGTTTGGTTATCGTGCTTGTAAGCAGGATACAGATCAGTGGTCCTGGGGAAAATAATTTTGTAAAATGGAAGGGGACATTTCGGTCCTACCGGCAAATCCGATCCGTATCGGTAAAGGGCTCGCATAGCCAAGGCGCGGACAATTAGAGCATGCGCGAAAGCCGGTTGGGATCAATGTTTTTTTTCTCTCGGCTGAGAGGTTGACTCTCCTACACGAGACAGCTTTTCTCCATGTAAAGGGAATTAAAATTTTCCGATATGAAATTGTAATAGAGAAGGAATCAGAAAAAATTTCAAAATTCTCGAAAAAAAATAGTATTGAAGCCCTCGTAATTTCGATCCAAAAGACTACTCAAGTTGCACTGTGGATGACCGAACAGTTGTTATAATTATATGGCGCCGCAAAGAACTTAGTAATTTAGATTACCTAAAAGGGTTTTCAATGTATTTAGGAGGAAACTGTCGTTGGGTGCCCCTGTCAACTATCGCAAAACGCTTCCACTACTTTCTTTACCCAAATAGTTGTTTTTTTTTCAGTTTTACTCTCGGTCATTTTGCCATGTTCTGAGTGTGCGCTTTGGTACCGGTCTTGAGACTGAGACTTGGTGGCTCGTCAGAAATTCATGGTCAGAACTCTTGAAAAGAAAGTCTCCGACCATAACCTCCTCTGGCAGTCATCAATGAAACGGATATTGAGGCTGCATCCGCTTCAGGGCCCGTTCAATTCTCAAAAGTCCCGATAACTAACGGGTCCCTAAAGCTGTTGTTCTTTTGTTAATGCTAGTCACGCACAATAAAACGCGAGAAACATTCGTGACATTCTGAATCACTTGAAAACGCGGTTTTGCAGCTTTTCACACTTGAAATTGGCTTCAGAAACGAATGTCTTCCTAATAAAAATGAATTTGTTTAGTTTAGTCTCATGTTATCTGTGAAATGGTACATACTGACATCGCTACTTCTCATTCGATGTCTCATAGCGAGAAAAGTATGCAGTTCAGTTTACCGAGGACGGAACACCGGCCAGAGAGGAAGTAAGTGTAGATGTTGACAGCGAAACGGAAGTGTTCCATGTGCCTCGACACAATAACAAAGAAGCAATGGATGTGATGAATGACTTTGTATCGGTAAGACTTAAACGAAATCGTTAGCCGTTCTTAGTGTAGTGGGGAGGAGCGTTGCGTGACGACACTAAAAAGGGCTGTTTAGCGGACTAACTTGACCTCAGTGTGGTAGTTCCTTGTTTTAAAAAATTGCGAGAACACTAAATCCTGATCCTCTCTAGCTGTCCCCCGAACCTCTTTTTTGTTGAATGTAAAGAAATGACTATATTTAAGAACATGAGGTCTAACAAGAAAAAATGCATCTTTGGACATCTTTTCGCAAAGAGTCAGAAAATCAGTAGTAAAAAAAGCATCTTTTAATTTTTGAATAATAAAATATTGTTTTAAAACATTGTTCATAAATCTGAGTTGTCGGCACGGCTATTTTAAATCCACAGCTCCAGAGAGGTTTTGCAGTGAATGAGTAATTGTTCCTTGATGGTCATGATGATGATAGTACAAAAATTGGATTTCTCATTTTTCTTTCCTAGACATTTTAATGCACAAGAGATTAAGCTCTTGTGCATTGCTCGCTTACGAGCTTTTAAAAGAGAATTTGACTGTGAACCAAACTCTGGAAAATAAACAATCGCTAAGCGATTAAGTTAAATGTTATGCCTTACTTAGTTATACAGCACTTAGAAAAGCTAATTTGCGGGTTAATGATCGATCAATGTATCGTCATCCCGACATCAGTTTGCAAAACAATTTACGATTCTTTCTCTCAGGGCCTGACTGCTCGTCGCCTTCTGTCAATTCAAAAATGTTATGTGTCTAAGTTAGACCCAACCTTACCGACCCCACAGAAACTGAAGATTGATATGGAACTGGTAAGTTGTTATTGTCGATCAGTTGTTTTATAGTTATTTATTTATTTTTCAATATAACCGGTTGCAATTTCTGCTTTCATCAATTGCATTATTTAGGATTACAAGTTGAATCAAACATTTTCTTTATTCAAGACAATGAATGTCCTCTTTTCTGAATTGAATGTCCTCCATTCTGCAAGAAGAGACTAGAGTTAGTAAGGATTAATGTCAGTTAGGGGTATTGGCCTTTCTCTGCGACTGTTGAGAATGACTAAAGATGAGACATTAGAGTACCCTACTTATGAGGATTTTATAGTAGAGAGGGTGGAAAGTTATAAGTTCAGTTACTTAAGGAAAAAATAAGCGACGAAAGTGTGTCCGTCTAAAAACGGACTGTTCTCGCCGATACAATTCCTGAGTTCTTTATTTTCTAACCTTAGTTATTTTTTCTTTCATAAAAGGCCACAAAACAGCCCTTAACTGACGAGAAGTTAACAACCGATACAACTCCAATGGTGCTGGGCTTTGCAGACCGCTCCTCGTTACCACAAAGGATTCTGGACTTTTGTGGTAGTCTCCCAATCTATGAGGTCGAAGAAGTGTCAGTGGAGGAGATGAACGCGACTCTTTTCAACTCGGAAGGTACCAAAAAAAAGCTTTAAATAAATTTACTATTTTATCAGAAACAGATCTGTGAAAAAACACACACACACAGGCTGACTCGTAAAGGGTTTCTTCCCAATTATGATGTGCATTGTATGATACAATATCAGTTTCTGCCCCGGATTGCTGTTCTTTGTTTAAGGCTGTCTTCAGGCATGTTAAGAGCGGTTCCGAGTCGTTACCAGTCCTTGGAGACTTAAGGAACAGTCCGTTACAATGCCGCCCCCTCCCCTCCCTTCCACAGCCAGTAAGAGCGTAGTTACCGATAAATCACGACCAAGAAATTAGCTCTTACCCAAATACTGAGAGTGCTCTGCAAATAAACGATGAATGTAGCCTTAAAGGCGCTTAGCCAACCTGCTCGCAGGCTAAGACGTAAGGACGTCGTGAAAAAAAAGCCAAGCGAAAATATTAGACCCCCTCGACAGCGTGGAACGGGGTACGATGAATTATTACGAGTTAAAGGGTTAAAAAAAATTTGAAACATCTAAGCATTCTAAGGAATACATGCCGTTTGCTAAAGGGGAAAGCCTGATCCTTAATGCAGTCGATGTTTGACAATCTTACTAACTTAAAGTCGAATTTACGCCTTGCAAATTCATCTGAAGTGAAGCGTAGTAATAGTCTACAAAAATTTAAATGAAAATTATGTCTATAATAATGTTCATTTTAATGTCCCTGTTGCAGGATATCAAGGTCTGCAGGGACGCAGCAGACGGTCAGTCTTCGATAAAGTATCTTGCTCCAACGGGGGTAGTCACAGAGGAAGAGTGTCGTTTTGCTTGGACCTCAAAGAAAAGACGAAGCCAAAATCCTGTACCTTCTCTTCTAGTTCGTGCTATTACTTCATTGTTTGTACCGCCGATAGTTATGGCGGTCATACCTGTTCTTATGCTAGGCACGGCTATTATGATTACTGCTGTTCTTGGACCTGCGATTTACTCGACTCCTTGGGGTAAACACTGATGAAACCCGGGGGGTGAATACCAAAAGTCTATAAGAGAAGGCTCCGCCCCTAAGTACAATTCCTTACCCCTTTATACACCAATTCTGAAGGAGAAAGTACCCCTCTCGTATACCTTCTAATGAAAAATGGTACCCCGTTCACATATCTAGTTCTATCTGCATCTAAATTAACTGCTGTCTTTAAACAGCTTTAAAATATGAACAAATCACAAAAGCAGAATGTTTTCTCGACTTTATCACAGCCATAAGATGCAACTGTTAGCCATTTTGGGCCTTTTTGTTTACAGATTAAAATGACCGATTTCCCTACCATTTCATATATACTTTAACTAGTGAAATCTCTACCCTTTCAAGTACATGAAAGTTCCTAGTGACGCCTAAAAAAGGTACCGCTTTCGGACGGAGTCTCCCCGTATAGGCCATAGGGAGTACCCCACACCCGGGTATACAACTGAGCTTACTGTACTTGTTATAGCTAAAATGAAGAGTTTGCAAAAGACGACTTAAGCACATATTATGAAGTAGGTTTCATATTAAGTAGCTTGAATTATTTTATTTCTTACTGATTGGAATTATACAAAGTTTGCATGTACACTCTTTTTTACAAGAATGTTGTTTTTCCGGCCCAGGCTGAATATTCTTATTTTTCTGCTGATTTTTTAGGCTCAAAATATTCTTACATTATTCGTAAATTATAGCTTAATGACTTTTCCGTTTTAATTGCAGTTAACGGCAGGTTTTTTTGTTTTGGTGACCATAGTTTTGCCGTTTAGAGAAAGGAATAGCATTAATTGTATTGTATTGGATTGGATTGTATTTACAGATTTGCACGCCAAATTATTATTTCAGCATTTCAGCATTGAGTTTATTCTTATCATATTGTTAAAATTTCGCAAATCTTAGTCTACATATTCTAAATAAAAAGAGTGTACTACGTGTAACACAAGTATAGCTTTAATGCTGAGGAGACCAATCAACAAAGGATCGGTGTTCGCTTTGCTGACAACTAAGTGAGGATCGGCTGATTTTAAAATAAATGTTCTAAATTAAAATGATTGTACGGTCATATAATCTAAGAGACTTGGTAAGATTGTCGTTGATCGTTCAAATGTATTACAAAAGAAAACTCATTAAAATTTCTATCTAAATTTATAATACACTAATGCCAAAGGTAAGTGCAAATTTAAAGTTAATCATACGTATTTTGCTCAGCTGAAGTTGGCTCATTCAAGAAAGAAAGGTAAATAGCTCAGAGAGAGCATAAATTAAAATGTTAGGAATTACTGTAAGAATGTTCTAAATAAATACACAGTTGTTTACATTTGTTTATATAGTAAAGCTGAACCTCCATGTGACGTTGGTAAGTCCAAAACTAGCAGAAAGCAAATCTGTGATGTAAATGTTGATTGATGTACGGAGCCTAAATGTATTCCGGCCTGTAAACCAATATACAAGTTAAAAGGTTACCTTAATAAATATAGATTAGTGACAATATGTTTAATCAACAGCATTATCAATCCAGCCTCCACAGAGGTCAAAAACAAACCTCCTTATGATTCAAATGCCATGATACCTTATATTATGAGATGCGGGTTACAAATGCGATGAACGGTTACAGCGCGAGAAATTAATCATACCCAACCGGGAGGAGCACCCTCGGAATCCCCCTCCCCACCCCCACCCCCCCACCCCCACATCCGTCTTCAAGCCTCTCGTGATACAGCCACAGCAGAATAATGAGCTTATCATTTCCAACATCTAGGCAATGACGTGATTTAACGTCACCAGGAAGTCAGTATCGTTAACCTTTAAGTCCCAATAGTGACCAACATCAATTTTCTCCTAAGGATAACCATAAATTATCAAGAGATTTTGTTATGAGAATTAATAAAATCATTGCCAAAGAGAAAATGCCTTGATCTTTTATCAATTTCTCTCAACTAATTCGTAAGGAAATGTATGGAGATCAGTTTGGAGAATTTGTATGTGGATACTGGGGCTTAAAGGGTTAAAGTTGTTGGTAGACTGTTCGTCAGGATCGAGCGCTTTCCGGTACGGGCGGTTAAAGAGCTCGATCTCGACGATCTTGCGAAAAAGTAGGGGACTCTGAACAGTCTAAGTTATTGGCAGAATCCAAATTGCATCAATTTTTTCCCTGAAAGCAAGCTGGGATTGTGTCACGGCTGTCTAGTTCATTTGGTTAATACATTGCCAATTACGCTTGCTTGTGCGCTATGGGACTTACCGTTACAAGATAACATCAACAAACACACTGTATACCTCCAAAGCATTATATCAAACGTCAAAAACAACAAAAATGAACTTTGAAAAACTGTTAGGCTTACAAGTTTTCAAAAACCGACAATTTCGAACAATTTTAATCTCGTACATCTGTTCCTTTTTCTCTGCTGTGTTTTTAAACCCAATTTTTTTGTTTGTTTGTTTTGAACGATTATTTTATGTTTCACTAAATTTAGTGACAATTCCAACAATTAGATTTTTAATAAATGTATGGCGCAGAAACAAACGGGGCTGTATAAACGAAAATCTTTGAAATTCGCGTTATTCGGCAGACCGCTCCTTCGAGGGAGTCAGTTTATGGGAACCTGAATCGTAAGAAGAAGGACTAAACGCAAGACTAATATTTTTATGATATATTTTTGCGAGATAGCTCTAGGAAGAGTAAGTGGGTTTCAGTTCCCGTGTAAGAAGTATATTTTTGTTTCCTTGTTCCCTTGGTCAAAATCACAAAATACTGAACGTTTTTGGAATGCAGCCAGAGCAACAACATGCAGTGTCACAACAAGAAAGAAGTCGTTGTCGGTTGTTACTTTTTTGAAGAAAACAAACAAACAAACAAACAAACCAAAACAAAAAGGAATAAGTCAACCTGGGATGATTTTTTTGATGGTTAATGTCACTATTCCGCTTAAGATACGCTTGAAAAGGTAACACAACTAAATAGCGCACGCAGGCAAATAAGACAATTACTACAAGATGGCGTAATAAGGGGGGGACACAGCCCTGTGGCAGGTTCTAGCGACTTCAGGTTATGCGCACAGCAAAAACACAAGCCTCACTTATCGCCCCACTACCGTGGGGTAGGACAAGAGTATTGGCAGAGCCTTTCTTATCTCCCCAGCGCCGCACGGGCTGGATCGGACAAGATTAAGGCAAATGAATAAGATGGCAAGACACAAGCAATGCCAAAAGCTTGGGGGAAGTCGCAACGCAGACTTAACCGC